TAGCATAAGCAGAATTAAATGTGTGGTGTATTTGGGGGAATTAGCTTGTTACATTGGAAAGCAGTCTGGGCCCGTGATTAAATATGTTGCTCTTGTGAACTGCCTGGTTTCCCCTCTGTATTCTGTATGACATAACGTGATAAGGTTGTTTTGTCATCTGCATGTATTCTTTTGCCACATTGCTGTTAGATTTTGATTTGCTGCTTCAGGAAATGTATGTTTCCTTGAAGAGTTACTATAAACACATGAATGCCTTTCTCAGTATTGGAACTTAAATTTCATATTGACTGCTGACATGATCTGAAGTGAGCATCAGTGGGGACCAGACTTACATGTGCTGTTGACAGCTTTGAAACACAACAAATCAAAGCCACTTTATCAACTCTTTATATTCTTTAGATATATTTTCAGAGAATCTCTGTGATAGTTGAATGTAATTCAATAGCGAAACAGTTAGCAAGAACAAACCAGAGTAAATCAGTTTCAATTACTTGTTACTTGATCCTTGGAATAAAACCAGATGACAAAAAAAGTTCTAAATAATTTAACAAATACAGTGCTGAAATAGCAGCCTGTTTCCGTCACCTGGAAACTGACGAAGATGGATTCCAATTTGGTTATGACAACACTGTGTTCTTCAGGAATTCTAAATCTGAGCAGATTTATACCTTCATCTACAAGCTCTGTAGTTGGTTTTTAACAAGTTGGTTTCATTCAACTAGATTATATTATGATAATCTTTACGGCATGCAGTGTACAGTAATTGAGAACAACTATTATTAAGCATTAATCTTCCAATACAGCTGTGTGTGAAAGGTTCACAGGTCCAAACTGCTTTCCAATATACTGAATTAACTCCTCGAGGAGGACTGAAAACCCACTGAGGTTCCAGGGTGATACAGTACATTTGTTGGGCAGAGCTGGAGAACATTTCCAAGAAAACTAAACATAGTAGTTACAGAGCTGCATCATAATTCAAATTCTGCTTCTGATTGATTTTCAGATTAAGGCTAGCATGTCCTCTTTGTTTCTTTTGTTCCAGTCCACGCAATCTAAGAGATTTATGGATAAAATCTTTAGTGGCAATCTCACAAAGTGAGAAGTTGCAGCTTTTATCACAAAGTAAGCCAATTCAGCTATTTTTTAACACCTTGGCCAGAGTGTATGGCAAGAGTAGGCAAAAAAGAAATCCAGAGGGGACTTTCCCCTTTGACTAAACTGAGCTGAAATCTAGAATTTCCAAACTGCAGAAGGTTGATGTTTTTTGGTTTTTTTTTCTTTCTTGAAGATGACATTTCAAAAGCTCTTGAAGGTAGTTTTCAAAAGTTTGCAGATGCTGCAGTATTTCAATACAGTTGTTAGGAGTTTAGTGTTTTTCCTGAGTAAGTTCCTCTCCCATCAGTGCAAGTATTCAGACAGAGGGTGCAGTTTTATGTTTCAGATGGACTGATTAACTGTGAGCAACGACCAAAAAGGGAGGTCTTGTTTTCTTCTCCAAAGCTTGTTCCTTCCCCCTCCAATATGTCAGCAGTATCGCTAGTCTGACCCTACAGTGAACAGATTCAGAGAACGAAGGCTATAGAAAATGAACACTAAAGAAAAGAAAATAATAGCTTTCTTACTGATGTAGTGCTCTGATCTAGCTGAGCATGGGGCCAGGTGAGTGCCAATGCTGTTATAAGTGACTGGGATGTATAGCCAGAGGCAGGATGAGTGGGAGAGCTCTTAAATTAATATAGATGTACTGTAAATTTAGACTTTGAGCATACAGTTCCCCCATCAGGTTAGAGATTATTTATGGATTATCTATGCTGCTGCTGAAAAGAATGGTGTCCTGGTTTCAGCTGGGATAGAGTTAACTGTCTTCCTAGTAGCTGGTATGGTGCTATGTTTTGAGTTCAGTATGTGAAGAATGTTGATAACACTGATGTTTTCAGTTGTTGCTCAGTAGTGTTTAGTCTAAAGTCAAGGATTTTTCAGCTTCTCATTCCCAGCCAGTGAGAAAGCTGGAGGGGCACAAGAAGTTGGCACAGGACACAGCCAGGGCACCTGACCCAAACTGGCCAACAGGGTATTCCATACCATGAGACGTCCCATCTAATATAGGAACTGGGAAGTGGGGGCGGGGAATCACCACTCCGGGACTAACTGGGTGTCCATCAGCGGGTGGTGAGCAATTGCACTGCGCATCATTTGTACATTCCAATCCTTTTATTATTGCTGTTGTCATTTTATTAGTGTTATCATGATTATTAGTAGTTTCTTCTTTTCTGTTCTATTAAACCGTTTTTATCTCAACCCACGAGTTTTACTTCTTTTCCCGATTTTCTCCCCTGTCCCACTGGATGTGGGGGAGTGAGTGAGCAGCTGCGTCGTGCATAGTTGCTGGCTGGGGTTGAACCATGACAAATGGTCTTGCTGTCCTCTCTGTGTTGGGTGCCGTGTTTTCCTATGTCCTACTTTGTGGTAACACTAGTGTTTTTGTGGTTAGTTGGATCAGGGAGCAGATCCAGCTGAAAACTAAGCTAACAAAAAAAAAAAGGATTTCAGCTTCACAAATGTTGTCATTGGTGTAGGAAGGGACAAGGTAGCATGAATTTGTACATTTTGGCAGCAGCACAAATTTAAATTTCCTAAAGTTTATTTTGATGTCGCATTATAAATAATCATATAGAAAAAGCTTATTTACAAATTCATTGACTCTTAGCTGGTGTACTGTTCCAGGTTCAAACACTTTCTTGAAGGATAGGACCCTGAAATCATATGTGGCATCATCAGTCTCAGTTTTGTCTGTGTGGTTCCCCTCTAGCGTCTTTTCTGAGGTGGACAGTGAGCCATAGAGCACTGTTTGATTTAGGAGAGACATCAGTGTATGTAGTATGTGATGGTCTACTATATCATCATCATCATATCATCTATGTTAACATAAGTGACATTTTGATGTTTTTTCTTTTCTCAGTGTTTCAAATTTGTTCTGTTTGGTTTCACTTAAGTATATATGTCAACGGAACACAGATTATCCAAGATATTTGGGATGTATGCTCTTTGTACATGAGCATGACTAATTACATTGAGCTACAGCTTTAAGATTAAGTGCATTTATGTTCTCTGATGAACGTGGCTGCACTAAGGAAATGGCATTCTAGCCTCTCCAAACACATTTCACATATACCAATAGGCTCAAGACTTTCTTTGAAGATTTTCTTTCATTCAGAAATGAGATTCAATGCAATGCATTCTAGCCTAGCTTTTCTCCCTACTGTTGTTTTCTTATGGGATTACTGTTTGGTCATTGTTTGGTTCAGGCTACATTCAATTGCCCTTGTAATTAGTGTGGAGCTAATAACCATGTACTGAGTAATCATGTCTGCTCTGATTTTCTGGGATTGTTTTGACTCTTTCAGCTCCCACTGACTTTTGGGGGGAGTTTTTCACATTTAGCACCTCTGAAGCTAGCGTATTTCAGTTATGAACAAGCTGCTAATGTGTTAAATTATAGCCATGAAGTGATAGGATTATTCTGACTAAATATGACTGCCTAAAATTTGAGTGTCTATATCAACATGAGTCATCCTAGGGCCCCTTTACGGACAGTGAAGTTCTATCATTATGTTTGTGGAGTTAGCATGCAGTGTGTTTTACCATAAAGTGGATGCCTGTGTTTGGTCAGATGGTTCATGCCATAAGAAGAGTGCAAGTAGATCAGCTGTTGAATTTTGATTAGATTTCTAACCTAATTTGTTTGGAGAGTTGGTCTATGTGTCTGTGTAGAACTGAGCGTGTAAAATTTGGGTTTTAAATCTATGTTTATTTGTGGAAATGGAAGCTGCCAGACATAAGAAGAGTTTAAGGAGCTCCATTCCAGGTTGAAATTGAGGAGCACTTTTAAAGTGTAAATGCTTAGATGCACGTGACAAAATTTACATTCATGCACTGATGTTTAAAAATTTCAACTCTACAGGAATATTAATAGTACCACTATAGCATGCTATGAAATCATCTGCTCATAAGATCAGCATTTTCATTACTGTTTGAAGACTGGCAGTAATTGCGAGGTTTCTTTCTTCTGCCTTCATAAACCAGGCTGTGCTCTGTTTCCTGTGTGGTTCTTGGAAGCAGGCACGGTCTTCTGTCTGAACTTTGTGCATTCTGTGTGACAAATTCAGTTTCTTGTTTGGCTGGATACTTCATCTTGTAATAAAAGAAAGAACCAGTTTACCTTCCATAATCCAGATTCTGGTTTATTTCATAGTTGTGTTTACAACAAGTTTGTTTAAAGCTGCAAAGACCCATTTGTATAGTTCTTGGCTGTCACTAGTCAAGAGGATGAAATTAATAGCCACTCCCTTTTCAGTCCCTAAAGCATTTTCTGTCCAACAACCTTTTAAGGTAGGTACCACTGGGTAGCAAATCCATAGTGCTCTGATAATGTTTAAAATAAATTGCATCTTACTTGTCCAAACTTGATTAAGATTTAAGTGTCTTTGGCAGAAATAAAATATCAGTGGAAGTTCCTACTTAATATATGTGTAAGGAATATAAAATGGAAAATCAATGCACAACAATTGTAGGATTAAGTTTAAGAACTTTTAACTTTTTAAGATTCTTCTCAATTCATTCACTTTGATATCAATATCACCATTATTAATAGAAGTGTAATTTCCTGTATACTTCTCTAAATTTGAAATAAAGTTTGAAGTACTCTGCATGCGTTGCAACTTATGATAGAAGAGAAGGTTATGGAATATGAAGCAGGAAGTAGATTCATCTGTTGGGCTGTGACACATCAAAGGTGCTGGTATACACTGCAGTTTAAACACTAAGCACATGCTATATTTTAAGCACTTGCATTTCTCAGTGCTTAAAATTGCTGAAGGTTAAGTATAGGCATAAGTATTTGCAGGATTTCAGGTGAATGTGTAAGGTCTACTTCATCCTCCAACAGATGCTGGTTTTGACATTCTGTTAATTAAGACTGGCTTTTTTCATCTTTTTCCTAGGTGTTTACCTCCCATGGACCTACTGTGATCATGCCAACCTGGTTCTGTTCTCGAGAATGGTTTTTTCATGTCGGAAAATTCGATGAGGGTGGAAAGGTGAGTGCTACGTATGATATGGATGATATGTAGTCCAGGAACCATCTCTTTGATTAACAGACTCTGAAAGCCCTAAACCTGTTATTAAGAAACACTAGGCAAGGGGGTATGGATAAAAACTGAGGTCTAAAACAATCTGGGTTGTACTGTATACCTGGCTTTTTTTTAAAAAAAAAAACAAACCAGTTGTTAAACAAGTACAGTTGTTTTGGGGTAACTGGTGACTGAAGGACATAACTGAGATGGGCTTTGTAGATAAATCTAACACATTTGTTAGATACGGCAACATACATGGAAAAACTAAAGAAGGATTCAGGCGTTCAAGCCCTTCTTCAGTCCCTGAAATAGATACAGCAGATCTGAAAGCTAAACAAAAGTCAGCTCATAGTTTCATTATGAGCCATCTCTGAAAGACAAGGTAGATTTGGTGAAAGAGATTGGAAGGGAAGAAAGGTGCATGATGGCAAAGAGATGGTAATATATTATCCTAAGGGGAAAGATTTATATCCCTAAGATGAAGAAAGAAGGAGAGGAGATCGCAATGTGCCATAAAACTACTACAATTAAATCTTATTTATCCACTTATCTCATTATCCACTTGTCAATCTTGGTTCTCAGGCTTGTCCTTGGAAGATGTTAAGTAGCTTTTCCGCAAAGATCAGGACTGGGAGGTTACAAATTAAATGACTGTTATCTGAGAAGTGTTCCTCCACTGACAGTTAGGTGTTCTTTATAGATTTCTTATATGAGTTCAATTTGGTTGCTTTAGGCTCATCAGCATGTTTATGGAATAAAATCCAAGGTTGTCTATTGGTGGTATTTATTGTGGTAGTAGTAGAAATATGCTGGCAAATAGATCTAATTCAGACGCATTTGGATCCATTCTGCGTGTTTTGGACCTGAGGAGTTTTGCTTCCAGTGGGTTTGGTGAGATTTTAGGGCTAGAATGGGTGGTTCTGAATTTTTTTTCGAAAGCCTTCATTTAAGAGTACTCTAAAAAAAAAAAATCTTCTAAGGCTATTTCCTATTTTATTATTTAAACTACAACATACTATCATTATTATTCTTCTTATAGCTTCTACATGGAGCCCTCCTGTGCCATGCAGTGTGTATGTATACACACATGTGTATATGTGTAAGGATATACAAATAGTATTCTTTGGGCTGCCAAAAACATTATAATTTAAGGAGATGGCAGAGAACAGAATTGTTTAGAGTGGTGAAAAGATTTGCCCTTAATTACACGGCGGGTGAGTGGAAGAGCTGGGAATGGTGCCTGGCTCCCAATACAATCTACATTTGCTGACCCATGCTCTTTATTTCTTTTTTTTAATTATTATTCCTTATCATTGTATTTTCATTTTTTGAAGAATCTTTGACTTTGTGAGCATTGTTAGTAAGCTCATAAAAGAAAGCAAGCAAGCTAAAACATAGTAGCAACAATAGAACAGCAAGCCTAATGATAAATTTCAAGAGGTTAAGTTCAACAGACTATTGTTCCGTGCTTTTTGCTTTTAGTTTTGGGGTGGTTTTTTTGTTTTGCTTTATATAAATGTAATTGTGTGGGAACTATGCCACTGCTTATTCAGATGTAATACGCTGACAATCTTAATCCTAATGATTTTTCAGCCACAATGCATGCTATGTCCTTCTAGTTTTAAAAATTACCAGTGATAAGTTGAACTTATCTGGCTGATAGAGGACCTTCAAAAAGATACCATACAAACAAGGGTGGCGACAGATATGAACAAAGCAATGCACATAAGCAATGAAGTCAAACCTTTGTCCTTTGTGGGTTTAGAGGACACAAAATCAAGTCCTAAATCTTTCAGCATTTAACACTGTAAAGTATTTAGCCTTGATATAACTCATTCATTTTCATTTGAAAAGAAATCCTTTGAGGCAAAAAAAGATTTTCCCTGTGTATCAACAGAACTGTTATAAACTAGTACTGAGTACTCTTAAGGATCATATCCATGTGTGTATGTTTTGACCTGACCCGTGATCTGACTGTGTTAATTTGATCACTTCCATCTTCATTTTTGGGTTAGTATTTAACAGTGCAACCTGTAAGTGTCATAGTGCTGCAAGTAAACACAGAAACAGGCCAACAAATTTCCACATTTCAGCCTTCTCCATTGCTAAACTGTTTCCATGCCAAAAAGCTGCATTTCTCATTTGGAATTAAATCCAAACACCTGTTCTTTGTATTTCAGTGCTTAGAACAAATGGAAGATAATTCTTCCATGGAAGAAATTGTGATTTGATGTTTATCTTGATAGTATAGGTGGACTGATAGAATATAAATATATAAGCTATGATATAATCTTTTTTTTAATTACAGGTAGGTATGCATGTATGTATGTATCTCTCCCTCCATCCAGGCATTACATGAAACACATTTTTAAAAATATTTTCAGAATGCTTTTAGAAATAAAATTCTTTCTGGTCAAGATGTGCAATTGTTGGAAATGTATTCCTTTTATGTAATCACTGTGGCAATGTTCAAGCAAAATCCTAAATAGTGTCTTCATAAATGGTGGTTAAGAACCTGACAGGTTTGCTTTATGTGTTAATTAGCTACAATGGTAGAGGTGTTATTTATGCAACCTCAGATATATGATAATTAAAGCAGAAGTACTTAAAAGTAGTAGATTTTAGCAAGCTCTAATGGTGTGCTGAGGTGAAGATAATACAATAGAAGCAGTCATAAGCCTATAAAGTAACATTTTAAATAGTACCCACTGCTAGGAGGAGAGTCACATGAACCGTATTTCTGACTTAATTTTTTAGGAAACTAAAGGGAAATAATCTTCCTGTTACCCAATGGATTCGGATAGAGTGCAGTACTTCCTTACTGAAAGAAGTAGCAGGACTTTACTAAACTCTTCAGAACTCACACTTGAAAATTAGTGTGTGATGTTATCCGCATGATTGGTTTTACTCCTCTACTTTTTGGTGTCTTCTAACAGCTAGCAGCATTGCTGAAAAGTCATAACTGTGTCTGAAAGTGTCACAAAAAGTTATGCTGAGGAAAAAATGTACATGGTCTTGTATAATACGAAAAGCAGATTTTGAAGCCATATCATCTGTTAACGTAGGGTACTTATAAAGTCACGTGTAGTAGTAGATGTGGGATCTGTTATTAGCCAAGCGAAGTTATTGCTTCATATGTTTGACAGTGCACTTCAATTTGCATATAAAACCCACATTTTGCAATTGTATCTGACTGGCCTTGTGTACTTCTACCAAAATGTATTCTTCAGGTGGACACCAGATTTTGTTTGCTATTAATGTCCAAATGGAGATCACTGGGAAGGCACGTTATGTGTCTTTTTCTAGTCACTTGTGTGTAATGGCACTAAGCTAAAACAACCTAGCTTGTTGCTTTAGATAAATGCCCTAAGAAATCTTGAGTACAGTAAGAACTGTATAAATGAGCATTGCTAACCTGCAGACTCCACTCCATGCAAATGTGGCAAATTGTGTAGTCTTGGCTTTATTCAAGCAGTATTATTCTTGACATCACAACTGTAATATGCCACACTTGTTTCTTTCTCTAGAGTTTTACCACAACTTGGTCCCTAATTTCCTGTCACCTCTGTATTTAACCTTCCTTTTTAAGCGTATGAAAACTAAAAATGGAGTGACAGCCTTAAAGTTCTAAACTAATCTCAAAGTGTAAACAGGGGGAAATTATTCTTAATGAGCCCCAGATGGAATAGCGTATTATAAGCCACTGGCCTCTATGAATAGAAACTGTGGCTCCGAACAAAGCGTCTGGAGCTGTTTTGATCTATTTTTGTGATAAAAGGTCACAAAAAACACAAATTGAGCAGTTGTCAAAATACCCTTTGGTGCACAGGAGACTGTAGCACATGTTGCAAAGCTCTAAGGTAACTTTGTAGGCTATTAGGTGCTGACTAACACATTTTTCCATTTTTCTCTGCCAGAGCGCACAAATGTCATTCCCTCCAGAAAGGCAAGCAGTTACAATAATGCCTGAAAGGTAAAAGGCTAAGTAGGAGTTTGGTTTTTTGGAACATGAATTAAAAAATGGTCAGTCTATCAAATAACCTATCAAGGTGCCTAGGGAAGAATCTGGATAAAACACAGGCACTAATGGTTTTGGCTTGGTATAGTTAAGGCTGAACAGCGATCAATATTTGATCTAAAAAGGAAGGAAACAGTGGTGGAGCCAATGATTACGTATACTTTATAAGCTCTTTAAAAATATACCCCATACCCCATGTCTAATGACATTTTTTGCTAGTCTGTTATTAAATATCATTTAGAATTTACCACCTCCCTTCCATTTGACTTCCCCATCATCTTTGTTTAACTGAATTTCTCTGTGCCAGTACATTTGGATGAAAGCAATCTTTTGGAGTTTCCTCTAAGCTGTGTTATTTCCCAAACAATGAAGTAAATGTTTCAGGCTTCAGGTCTTATAACCAAGGCAAAATGATGTAAAGACATGATTTGGATGGGTGCCAAAAAGTGAAGTGACAGATCTGCAGAAAGAGAGACTTAAGAATTTCTTGGGTAATCCTGAAGAGAAGCTATTAATAGCTATTCAATATGGAGTCAGCCTGTGGTTAGTCTGCTTGCATACCTCTGGTTGACTATTCTAAAGGAAGTTAAACTAAGGAGTATTTTCAATTAACAATAATTTCTCCTTGAAATAAGTAATTTCAATGAGAAGTTGTTCATTACAAAAGAAAAATACAATTGACATGTAATATAAAACTTGTCTTCAGGGAAAGACGAAGGATGGATAATTCTTGATAAATTAGTTCAGTTCCTAATTTTTTTCACCTTTACATTTAAATTGGAGAAGAGCTGCAATATCTTATTTAGTTTTAGCTTCCAGCAGCTTAGTAGCCATTCCTGATCAGCAGCACACTTTGAACAGCATTTGTTGGTGAGTAAGAGTGTTTAATGTCTGGCAGAACAGCATTTGTTTCTAAGGCAGGGGTACTTCCTTTAAAATAGGGTGTCTTTTGTGTTCGCTTCCATCCAGCCAACAGCTCAGTGTGTGTTATTTCTGCAAGTCCAAGATTTAGCTCAAGACTTTGAGGAAATGCTGTGGGGCAGCTCTTGGCATACATATTTTTAAAAAAACCAAACAAACTTACTTTGATTTTTTTTTTTTTTTTTTTTTTTTTTTACTCAACACCTCTGCTTTGTTGCTAAATTAGTTTAGATTTTTTTCTTCCTGTTTAATCTTAGGTGTTGTAATGCACACCATTTGATCTGCTTTTTATGCAACTCTATTGTAATATTAATACTGAAATGTTTTTCTTTTTTAATGAATGTCCTAAAATGTGCAGTATGAAATGAGTTTAAAAAATAGCAATGAAACAAACTCTTTCCAAAGTCCTGTAAGAAACAGAATAGTACAGAATCAAAAGTTACTTCCTTTTTGATTCATTCTTTCCATTCACCAGTATTAGGCTCTTCTGAGGAATTAAAGCAATTTGGCTTATTCTGTCCAACAATTACCCTGATGTTGCTGTCTGGTTTGCAAAAAGCGTACCAAGTTAGAGCCCAATTTTCCATGATGCCTGTGATCAAGAGGAAGGGTTAAACTTTTCCAGAACTGAAGGGTTTTTTCATGTGTGGATAGATTTACTTTCCTTGTCTTGTTTGTCATTGCTTCTTGTTAAAAATGCATGTATTCTTGAAATATAAAACATTGTGTTAGATTTCCCATTTTCACTAGTTAGATTGCCCTGCATAGGCTAAATGTCCACTGGTTTTGCTTACAAGGATCTGCCACCTGTACTACAGTGCCTGTCAGCTGGAAGAGGACAGGGGAAGACTACATGTCAAAGATGTTTGAGAAGAAGGCTGAATGGAGGGAAAAGAGATGGATGAGGAAGTTGAGTCAGCCTGGTTCTGTGGCAGAATCAATCTCCTGTATTAGGTTTAGCAGTAAAAGGCAGCCCTTATATTGTCTATGTGCCTGTACAGCCTAATGGTAAGTTCTGTCCAAGTGACCAAAAGAAGACTTCTGTCAGCCTAAAGTTCTGCAGTGGTTACTGTTGGTCGCCCCAGGGCTACAACATGATCTTTCACCAGGTGTTACTAGTTACAGCATTGCACAAAGGGCCACTCTTACGTTAAAAGTCCCCCCAAAATTGCTCATCAGTATCTTCATCCCTACTGATGCTCCTCACCATTACTGATGGTGGAGCTGCAAAAATTGTAGCCAGCATTGCTTGTTGTAGTGGTAGGTGGCTTGCACCTCCTTGCCAAATACATATGTTGAGGACACTGTAGTTGGAGTACTGTTTCAGGCACAGTGATCTAGGATGGAGAAACAGTGAGCAATGAGAAGATAAGAGAAGAATGTTTAGTTTGGTCCCTGAACAAGGAATTAGTTGAATTCAAGTTAGGTTCTGCTTGACATCCGATTGTGTACTCAAAATCAATCCCCTCATCTATACAGCCAACCATCAGCACAGCAAGTGATACCTGCCCAAAATACTGGGTAAACACAAATCCTTCACCTCTTTAGTAGTATGTTAAAGAAGCTGATGATTTTGCATATGGTTAGTGCATGCTGGTTAGAACAGAGCAGGTGTAGGCGGTGTTTTTCACTAGGAGTTGTAATCAGCAGCTGATGAGCACAACCGTGAGTGAGGCAGGCCAGTCCCTTAATGCACCACAGCATATAGGGTTGGGTTTTGCCTATAATGTGGAAAATCCTGTATATAGTCCAGTAACATGTAAACTGTGCAATTTAGTTGCATTTATTAATGCTGAAAACTATTTATGTGGTAACCTATTGCTGAAATGCTGGATTGTTAATTGATACTTTTAGCTTTGGATATTAATTTTCCAAAAATACATTAAAATATCCCTTTAGTGGTTAAACAGCTTTTTCTTTGAAAGTTATGTTGTTTGACAAAGATTCCTGGTGTTTAAAATGCCATCTGGATCCAATAATATGTCTCAATTGGGAAGAAACTCTTGTATTGCAACAAACTTACACGCTCAAGAGCCATAGGAAGTCCCATCCCTGCAGGATCTGTAACACAGTCAACATCTTTCCTCCCCTGAAAAATGCATGGCAGTGCTGCTCCTTTGTAATGTGAGAGGCCACTGCTGAGCAACACAAGGCACCTGCTCATTCCTAGGAGTGAGTGTACTTTATTTCAAAGTACTTCTGCCAGTTAAAGTAAAAGAGCACTCAGAACCAAGCAGCATTTTGAAAGATCCTTTTACTTTTGTAGTAACTCTCTTTTTTAATATACATATTAATGGTTATCTTGAATAATGTAAAAATGCTTACCCAAAAGAAAATGAATTGCAGATATGTATGTGATGTAATCATATATGTGAATCAAAATATGATTACTGCAGTAAGCTGATATGTGCTACAAAATTTGTGCCCTGTCTGACACAGTCTAGTCTGTGACTGGAAAAGAGAAAAAGGTTTAAACTTTGCTGCTGACTCTCAGTATTTCCATTAAAGTCCAGAATAAGAAAAAAGATAGAAAGGGCTACAAGAAAAATTGAAAGAATTTGAGTTTGTGTTTTTCGTATATTCTTGATGACTGTGTCTGCTACTCCAACTTCCCCCAGATTTCTTTTGTGACTTTCAAAGTTGGTTCATATAAAGCATAAATTGTATGAAGTTCTCTAAAAGTTTTCTTCTTCATCGCAGCTCTTAAACTAGCAGTCAGACAAATATCTACAAAGACAAACAATAGCTACAGATAAGCTGCCCTTAGCAAGCAGTCAGATCAGAATCCATTTTATTCGGAATCTGAGAGTGTGGCCCAATTCAGGGTCTTAAATCAATCTATCATATAGTGGAGTCTGGAGCTACAAAGTACAGAGCTTGATGTGGTTCTGATTTCTCCCAAGATACTTATGTTCAACTGAGTGTTTTGGATTTGTTTTCCAGGGTTCAAAGCTTTTTTTGTCTCATTTCCCTTCCCCTCCCCACACCCCCTTGGCTGCTCAGTCTGGTGGGTATGAGAAGCAGCCACTGAACTGTATTGCTCTTGTAAGTAGAAGGCCAGAAGAAACCACAGAGGGATTCTGTGTCCAGCAGTTTAATTAGAGAATCTCCTTTTCTTAATTATGGAAGAAACTCAGAAGCTGTGGTAATGGGGAAAAAAATCTTTTTTTTTTTTTTTTTTTAAACTTACGCTCATACTGTTTTTCTGTGTTGTAATAGAATACCTAAAGTTGAGGTTTATGCCCCTGTTATTCATGTATGTGATATTGCCTACAGAAAGGAATGTATTTCAGTATCTTTCTCTTCTTTTACTTTTCCTTCTCATCTTTGTCATGTTAACTTCCAGGTTTTTATTGATTCGACACTTAAATATTTTATTTGGCCCACCTGGTTCTATATAGCAGAGATCTTTAGCCTGATAAAATCATGGGGCCTTTTAAACACTGGGTTGGAGGAAAGAAAAATCTGTATTTAAACATAGAAAAATTAAATGTTCTAGCCATTATTTGAAGAAGTTGCACCATTGCAAAATGTAAATAGATGCTACTTTTTTACCTTCAGTATAGGGCTGTATCTTTAAAGGTGGGTTTATGCTTTTGTATGCTATGATGTGTAATTGAATACTATGTGCCATAAGATTGCCCTTCTGACACTATGTCTGGCATGAAGATTTTCTGATTTTTAGGTGGGAAATGTTGCATGTGATCATGAAATCTCTAATATTTCCTAGAGCCTGATACATTCACAATTCTAGGAGCTTTTTTTTCTTGCAGTGTTTCAGCAGTATGCTTGCAATCACATTAGGAAGAATGTACCATGGAAATAAGTTACAAGGAAAAAAAAAAAAGTTTTGTTTTCAGACATCGCCCTATTCTGAGGTTGTTTTTATTAAGGTGTCTTATTATGGGGCTTGATTTACCTTCCCTAAGTAGAGACCAATATACATATTTGTATGGCAACCAAAGAAAGAACGATAATTCTAGTAAAATGAAAAAACACTCTTCTGAAGTCACTGATCCCTTTCAGTAAACTATTTGGTTACGTGGCACTTCAGGCTTCATAAACTGTTCAGCAGCTGGGTTTCTTTCTTTTGGGACTAACCTGTACCAAGCTTTATGTCCTTGTCAATATGAGATGATGTTTATTTTTCCACCTTTGTCCTTGTGGTCAGCTGTACTTAGTTTTTAAATAGCACTGCTTGCTTTTTAATAGCTTTATCTTTTCTAGAGATATGTTTATTTAATGACCCATTAGATATTTTCATGGAGACATACAGAAATAATATGAATAAAATTATGTTAAAGCTTATTCATTTGGCTGAAAAATAAAATGTGTCTTCAGATGTAACTATGAATACTGGTCACTTCCTGGTTTGAAATAGCTGCTTCTCTTCCAGGGTGTTCCAGAAGATTTGTTGTTTTTTTATAAACATATCCAAAAGGGTGGTGAAGTCTTTCGAGTAAACCATTGCCTCCTGCTGTACCGTTACCATCCACAGGCTGCAACTCATTCCGTCCTAGAGTAAGTTGCATTTTTGGTAGAACTTAAAAATTAGCTTCGCCTTGAATGATTAGCAGCGAAGATGCTTAATCTCTTCAAGACATCACACAGCAAAATAATTACCTAGTGTTGTGTGTGTCTGTTTTAAAAAAAAAGGCTAAAAAGCAAGCATAACATAATATGTTGGTAGTATCCTCTTTTCATGCTGGAAGGTTAGTTTTCTGTTTGTTCTTGCTATAATTTTGCTTTTGAGTAACATACTGTAATGCTGGAATTGAAATTATGAATTGAAATCTTTCATTTGCATACTGTTGCCTGTACACTATCTGTGTACCTGTGTTAATGATTTAGTGAGGCAGGGGTGGGGTGGGGGCACTTTAACATTTGACAAATAGAAATTCTATGTAATTGTTTTGTCTTTGCAACTGTTTTTTGAAGTAATTTCACAATAGGTATTGTAAGAGCAATGAAGCATTTTGGGGACTGCATTACAGCAGTACTGTTTTCTCAACTTCCAGTTACCATTCCTTTGGCTGAGACTGTAACTGATCACATGAGATCTCGTAATCTGCCTGAATAACGTCTCTGGTTATCTAAAGCATCTGAGTTTCTTACCCTTAAAGCAGATTAAGAATACTTTCTATGATTATGTATCTTATCTGCTGAACATGGCAAAAGCAAGCAGTGAAGCAGTAGTTTCTTCAATACTTTGAACATGATTGCAAGAATGTGTTTGAAAGATATCCTAGTGGTGAGTTTTTAATTAGGATTTTTGATATGTGAGGTTTTGATTCTCATATTTTTTTGCCATGTGAACCATAATGTAAAAAATATTTTTTTAATTTTAAAGCTTAATTTCAAAATGAACTGTCTCAATTTTAAAAAAGTAAACAAAAACTTGCAATACCAACAAAAACCATCTTTTGAAAAAGACAATAAAACCTAAACCTTTCATCTGATAATGTGCTACATTTACATATATTATTTTCCTATTTTAAAAGGTCTAGACCATATAAATCAGATAATAAGGTTTGAAAAATACCTGAGGATGTTTAGGAGTAATTATCTCAGGTGCTCCCTTGTAAGCTGTTGCCTACTGCTTTTACAGTGCTGGTCTACCCTTAAAGAAAATGTTACACTGTTAATTGCGGATTCCTCTGTGTGCTCATTGTACGCATCAAAGGTGTTCTTCGTGATCAGAAGTCCTGCAAGCTGAGCCAAAGTTGTTTCTTTCTCTTATGGATTGACATTAATAACAAGTTACGCAAGTTTTACTGTACTTTAGGAGTCCCAAACCAGAATCACAGTGGTAATTAAGTAAGCTGTTTTCTTACTGATTAATGATATAAATACACTTTTCAGTCAGTCCTATTTGTATGGCTTTGTAGAACTGACTAGTAAAACTAAACATTTTTATGTGCATTTTAGTTGTATATCACTATATTATTGTATTACTGTAAATACTATAGTATGTTAGCATAAATATCGTGCTCATGGTTAATGTCACTATAGATCTTTATAAATACATATATATATGTATGCATGTGTATATAAAATCGTTTTACTCTGAACAGTCATTCCAAACAAGTAGAAGGTATTCTTCAGATTTTGCAAACAAATATGAGGTAAATTATTTTCCTTTTTATTGGTGTTTAAATGTAAGGGGTTTTTTTTCTCTTTTAGTGTGTGATCATTTTGGCAGTTAGTTACAAACTTTTCAGCCATGCATCATGGGATGCTAGAACTCGTGGAAGTCTGTTGCTTGTATCTGTGGGAAAACATCTTATTCTTGGAAATGAGTTTGTTTTGAATTTACTGCAAGCTGTTGCTTATTCAGATCTACAAGGTTGTGTGGCACAAGGACCCTGAATTACAACATACTGTGAGAATGTGGAAATACTGTAAGCTGTTTCAGATGTGCAGTTTGCATGTCCAAATTGGCGCCTTTCTTGTCTTATTCTAAGGAGTCAGGCTAGCCATTCTTCCTGTTGGCTTTTTGCTGGTACTACTGTTAATAACATTTTGTGTGAACTTTCAAATACGAGGTTGTGTAACATCTCTTCTTATTGGCTTGTTCCCCTGTTTGTTGCCTAAGTTGTGAAGGGCTGGCCAGCATTTGTTTCTAGAGACCAAGGTGTGCATTGAGCAAAAAGAGATTGATGGACTCATCACAGAGGTTTAAGGTTATAATTTAAATTGGGTCTTCTCTAATTTGTCTTTTGGTCACCCAACCTTATTTAATGCGTATTCTACATTTTCTAGAAGTGTCGTCCTGTGTTGTTGCTGTGTCCCGTTCCCCCCCCCCTTTTTTTTGTGTGATGTGTGTTGTTTGAGCAGTTTTCTGTGGCATTTTGCCTTTCACCATTGGCCTGTGTTGTTTTTGAATTTTCAGAGTTAGCCTACACCTGGATTTGGAAGTAGTAACTCACCAACCAGATTAATATCTTGTCTGAGATCAAAATGATGCTTGTAGGAATGTTGCTTTATTATTTTTTTAACAGTTTATGCCTAGTTTCAGTCTTAAAAAATAGAGCTGGTTAGTAGGACTTGTTTATGCAAAGATGCGTGATTCAATCTTTTCAGCAAAGACAAAATTTGCTCATAGCCTATTATGGGCTGCTTTCAGTTTATACGAGTGTCTTTCATTACTGTTCAGGGAAAAAAATGCCTGATTTTGCATTTTCAGACTTCCTAAAATATATATAAAACTACTTGGCAAGCGACATTTAGGTTTTTTTATTTAGTATGTATAATTGTAAACAGTAATGATTTTTTGGTCATTTTGTATGATTAGTATCCTTCTGGAACAAATATCTGGAGGTGAAAGTATCTGTGAAGCAGGAAACAAAATCTTATTTGCATTCTCCCTTACCCTGGAGGCATCAGACTGCGTTATTAAATGTTTTGGGTGTGTGACAGAATCTAAATGCAGTATGGTGTCTATATTTAGATTTCATTAGGTGCATACAGAAATATAAATGTTCTCATTGTAATTTCATCTAAAGTCTGTGATGGATACCTGCTAAATGTGAATGAGCAATACAAGTTTTGAGAAACTTCTCTTCAGCAAGGAATTTACAACACAAAATCCCACATATTGTATCTCTTAGATCTAAATCTTTTTATCTCACATTACAGCTTGTATCCTAGGGCTGTGTGTACTTTGTGCTACATAGCTACATTATACTGATTTGATACAATATCAGAGCTGGTTTTTTAGTGAGAAGTACTGTAGTAAGAAAGTTTGGTGTATAATAAAAACATTGTAAAATTCTTAGATTTTTATCTTGCCAAAGGGGAGAAAAAGGAACTGTAGATAAAACAAGGTACCTCATTGAAAGATAAAAGTCAGCTTGGAACAAGATGAGCAATAAAACATTGTATTTGTCTTTAGGTAGTGCTGCTCATGAAGACAGGCAGTTGGGGCAGGTAGCTAATTCTGTAGCAGTTTACAAGCTTTTGGTCAAGAGAAATTTAATATACGCAGAAAATAAGGTTTGTACCTTCCATCTGAGATTCAGGCGATTCCCTTTTATGCAGGAAATGTAAAGTGTACTTACAAGGCTTACAGTACTTTCATATGCTGTGTATTCGGAATGAGTATAATATTTTAAGAGCTTGTTCTGCAGAAATAACCAAAATTACGTAATCTATTGAAACCATCTGGTTTCAGGCACTAGAAGCTTCCAGTGTCATCTAAGCGAAGGGGAACAGGCACTTAGTCTGAAACACACATTTGGTTGTTTTAGAGGTACTCTAAGGCATGGGTCTCATATCACTGATGAGTGCAGGAATGCCTGCTTCATTTCCTGCAAAAACATATGCATCCAAAAATAGGCAGGAGAGAGGAAGAACGTAACGTATTCCTGTACAACTGCAATAAAGATGAGGTCAACTGCATTTTTATCTTCTATGCTCGCATTTGGCACTTCAATTAAACATGAAAACTAATGACCTCATTAGATTCTTGAAAAGTAAATGGCATTAACATTGATAGTCTCTGTCTTTCTTAATAAGCCTTTCATGAAAAATAGGCCACAATGCAAACCATGCCTCAGTTAATGACCCATGACCTGAAGATGAACTCAGACATTAATAGAACCTATTAACAGTGTAGCTGTAATAACTCAGTGGGACGATATAGTCCAGCAATTAATAAGTTCACATGAAGTTCAACAGAACAACAACAACAAAAAAAATCAGTTTATTCACCAGTATGGTCAAGGTTCAAATGGGATTAATTTCTGAATTTCCTGTGGATTGTAAGGACCTTGAATTCTGTCTGCAAAGCTAGCTATAAAGAATCTGTTCTTTCAGCTCTCACTGTGATGAAAAAGTTCTCTGTTCTTCCATCTCTGGATTATCTATCAGGTGAGATTCACCTATAATATAGAACTCCCTTATCCTGGCATGAATGAAAAACCACTGGAAGAGGCTGTTCGCTTGAATAGCTCCTCTTCCTGTCTGGTGTTACCTGAGCAGCGTGCGGGACCAATGTATATAGAAAAGGTCAGATTTATAGTATTACTGTGGATGGTAATCAATGCCTAAAATCCCAGTACTGTTTAGGATATTGGGCTTGTATTTGTGCATTTCTCAAGTACTTGTACATCTGTCTTTGCTCTGTTGATTCACTTATGTAGCCTCACTGGGGGAAGGAGGGGAAAGGCAGTGAAACAATATGGCGAGGTTTAACTGAGCTCAGACATTAAATCATATAGCTTTTATTGTCACATTATCTTTCATTTCAAAATAGGAGTGGAGCAGATGTTTCTTGACTCCTGTATTCAGTCAGTAGGTCACCACACATTTTAACAGAGCTCCATTGTTATATTACTTGGGTGGATGGTATGGCAATAACTGCTTGGGACTGAGGAACACACTTTGTAGTCATTCTCACCCACTGCATGAATACCCTCATTTCACTCCTGCAGAATTTTGGCTCCTCTTCTTCCTTCCAGGCTACATAACTGATGAGTATTGAGGGGCCATGGCAAGTGAGATCTTAGGAAAATCACGTAAGCCTGGAGAATGATTTTCCAAGTAGAAAAATGTATACTTATAACATTTCTTTTGTAAAGTAAAGAAGTGACAAGAAAATGAAAGAAACGTGAAAAATAATATACTTCAAGAATTTTGGTCAAAGAGGAGTATTAGGATGTGGGAACAAACTTCTGCGGTCAGAAGACTTTGTATCCCCCTTCTGGCTGAGGAAAATCTTGTTAACTGAATACAGGCTGGGAAATCATACTAAAGGCTACTGGGAAACGGCTTGCTTTAATCCCTTCTGACATGGGTAGGAAAAGCAGCCTTGATTTGGGGTGATGCAGACTAATAATACCTCCTAGTTTTTGCTGGTGGCTATGAATATGTAATAACGCAAAATCTGAAAATAGCTGTGAGAATCGTCTGAGTAGTGGTTTGTACAACTTCTAGATCGTTTCAGGCATTTTCTTTAATCATCCTTTGCACGTTGCTACAGTTCCCCTCTGTTGCACCTGCACTGGCTCTTAAAGGATGGGAAAATGGCATTCCCTCATCCCTCAAGGCAGGAATCCCAGTTATCTCTTCTGGAAACATCAAAAAAAGTGGCAAATTAGGTGAACCGGAAACCTGAAGGGGATAACTGAAACTCTCTTTTGACACTCCATAAGCTACCTTTTGCTTCAACGTGTGAGATACATTGTTAGCGCAGAGCAAGTTTTCACAAAGATTGAGTCTGTGATTGTCACTCTAAACCTCAGTCACAAATTCTCCCCTCAGTTCTGTATTTATCTGATGATCTCGGCTTGCACTGTTAAAGTATTTCAAGGTTAACTCAAGACTGCAAATTGTTCAGTGTAACTTAAAATTTTCATTAAAAAGGGCCCACACAATATTGTGGCATGGGGGATGTGATTTTTAAATTCTTCTCTGTGAGCATTTTCATGAGAATGCCTCATAGTGTTGCAAACAAAAAATCACAAGTGCTGGGGTATATTGGTTTCATTTTCACAACCCAAAATAGGTATTTAAGAAAGCCATTTATTGGTGCTTAAATGAAGCTGTCTGACAACATTGAACAGTGATCCGATTAATTTGGAGTTTAATAACTTCCATATCCTTTTATTTCTGAATGCAATTCCCTTACATACTTTCCCTACTTGCATTTCTCAATATAGCATTCATAGATAAGATTGGGTCAGTAAATCTGCTTCAGTCTGATATCTTTGTGGAAGATTGGTCTGCTTGAATTTTACCTCTATAGGGCCTTCTGTGGAATATAGGCACCCATCACCTAGACAGCAAATGTATACTGTCTGGAAGCAATCAATACTGAGTGTACTGGGACATCTCCATGACAAATAGAAACATTTTCTGTGCGCCTGGATGTAGATTCCATTGTTTGCCATACAATTAGAAGTTGATAATTCTTTCTGTGCCTTGTAAGGTTCCCTGTTTTTCTGTTAGCTTTCTTAACTTGCCTGTGTCACTCAAGTCAACAGAACAGATTCTGAAGTACCTCTGGAATGTAATGGTTATCCTTCTGAAGTCACATTTCAAAGTAAAATCAGTTTTAAAACCTCTCCATTTACGTGTAAAGCAATAATCTTCCTTTTTAGAAGGTAGCAGAAGCTCTAAAATTTCCAGTAAAGTGATCCTGGAAAAATACTTGACCTTCATATTTCTTTCCTTTAACTTTACTTCTGGGAATGTAGTATGCTCTAATGAACATGGAAAAAGGCAAGTGTCAAAGGATGCCAGCAGCAGCTAAAGCTTTGCAGCAGGAATGCAGCTTGTGGTTGCATTAGAAGAGATTTGCAATCAAATCCAAGATTTTTTTTTCCCTCCATTAGTTGAAGTGCTGGTGCATGGCCGTCGTCCTCAAAACAGTGTGGAAATTTTATATGGAGTAGCTGTTCTTCTTGGGTGCGTTTATTTGCGTGTGAAGTTCTTTCCAAGTTATCACGCCACGATCAATGATGAAGTGCTAAGCAGGATTTGGCTGTGCTCAAAAATTGCATACTGAAGTGAAGTGGGCTCTTGGAGCTAACTAATAATCCCAGCAAGAATCCATATGCCTTAGTACTATGAGGGTTGCATGTTTTTCAAACCGTAACTCAGGGCTGTGAAGGAATGATGCAAATAAAAACACAAAATTCCTATCATTAAAATATTAGGAAGGTTTGGTAACAAACTTTTGGGAACAAATTAGGTTACCTGTTAACCTCAAATGTTATGTTTGTACCTCAGAGGTATACTTCGTAAGAATAATTTGGAATAGTAATTTGTATCTGTTACAGAGCTTTGTGAAATTTGATAATCTGTTATAAGAAGGAAAAATCTGAAAACATTTCATAGAAATCAGATGTTACTGTAATGCCAGATCATCAGACATCTCTAGCGATCATACTCATGTATTTTACAGTTTTGTAATAGAACCAAAATTGGTGTAATGCATGCAGGATTATCCATAATCAGAGCTGCAACTAGGAGACAGAGCAGACTGTCAGTCATTCTCATCAGTGAATGAATAGCATAGCTGTAGCAGCTCCTGTACCTGACTATCCACCCACCTGGGCAGTTTAGATCCTTAACATCAAGGAAACTTGAATGGATTTTGATTTTTCTATAAATTCGCAACCTGCACTTTCAGACCAGAAGTAGCTTAATGTAGCTGCCCCATGATAACCTGTGCTGACTCATGAGTCAAAAGCTTATTTGAAGCAGAAGTAGTAACATATTCTTTGAGTATTTCAGTGTTTAAATTCCATACCAACTTGATGGAGTCAGGAGACTGTGGGGCTCAAAGTTGAACTGTGAAGAAGGTATATATTAGGAAAAAATATGTGCTTCCCAAGACAAAGAAAACCATAGGCAGCTTTAGGATCTCACAGGAAAATTACTAGTTTTTTTCTGTTAATGCTTTAACTAATTTCTGCATCTGATTTCTTGGATCACAAGATGTATTACAAGTTCTAGAACAAGTTGTAACAATTATTATAAAGTGTATTGTGTTCTGTCATGATAAAGCAGATGGAAAAACCTATTTGAAGAAATGCTTTCAGAAAGGAAAGACAATTAGGTGTTTATCAGAATTTCCTATGAAAGAAATTTTCAACTCAGAGTGCCTTGTTCAAGAGATGTAGATTAGGAAGATTTGTCCATCAAGCCGTAAATTGAGGATATCAATTTATTGTTTCTAGAAAATTGTTTATTAAGTATGAGATAGGCTCCTAGTTAATGAATACTAAATGAACGCTAGACATGAAACAGGTGTTCTTAACAGCAGGCAGTTTTATTTAAACCATTGTAAATTATGTAGTCTTATATATTGCATTATAGGGTGGGAATTGCTATTTTAAAAGCATACCTGATTGAAAGCAATAGGAAATGTGTGGACGTGCACATGTACACACACACACACGAAAAAAGTTGTAGTTGTCAAAGTGAATTTGGCAGTTGGGAGGAATGGTCCATGAACAAAATTCTTTCCTTGGAGTTGTCTTCTGTTTCCGAGAACCTTTCTTTAACTTGTTGAAGATCTCAGCGGGTCTTCAGTATTTACAGATGTTAGGTGTTCCCTTGTTACTGGTTCTGAAGCCATGGGGTTCATAATTTGGTGTTAGTCTCACAGTTGTTTACCTCAACTATGTGGCTTAAATTATATTGTGGAACTTATTACAAACATGAAGACATGAAGGTGTAATTGGACACAGACATCTGTCAGCTTGCTTTGTTTCTAAAGCATGTTTTAAGGAGTTTTATGAGGCATACCACTTCTTCCAAAAAAGAAAAATAATTTCCACTGCTCTTTGTTTCTAGTAATGCTATTTGTTTTAAAAGTAGTCTTCAAATAAAGGCACAGCCACATTCATGTCACTGCTGAATAATACTTTGGAACCTTTAAAATTAAATCACTCTTCTGTGGTCTAAAATGTGTGTGTGCACATTCCTAAGTGTGAATCGTGTGTAACAGACGGTAGTTTCAGTGTTGTGTGTGACTTTGCAGTTCAGTGATCATCTCTTGCTGTATGGGTGTCCACTGATTCGGACTTGCTGAAGATTTGAGTCGAATACCACAACGTAAATGGACTTTCATTGTAGCATTGGGCTGTATATTTGGGTGAATTGGAGTCCTGAATTTGTGAGATTTCAACTTTGCATTGACAAAGGAGAATGAATGCATGGGCAGATGGAACATGAAGTGGTCATCTTGGATTTAAGGGATAGTTTGCCTGTACGCACTGCAGGGTCATAGAGCAGTTCATACGGTGAGTACAGGTATGGGCAAACAGTGTATTGGTGGGCACTTGGAGTTGTTGGTATTGAATTTGATTACCATAGCCACAGTTTTTCATCTTCTTGTGATCTTCTGTTAGGGTTCTTGAAAATAATAGTGGTTTAGCTACAGCTTCAAATCTATCCTAATGATTTTTGTCTGAGAACTTCCACAAAATGTCTTTTTTTCTAGCAACAGTTTACATTTCTCTTGGAAATTTCTAGTATAATGTTTTGGTGTGATTTTGTTGTATCATGTGTGAATCAGTTTGGTCAGCTTTAGGTGTATGTGAGTATGTACATATGCATATATGTATATAATGCTAGAAGTTTTAGGGATCAAAATCCACCTTTTTTCTAACTCTCCAGGGGAACCATCTGGAATCACCGAGTCAGGTTTCTCGAAGACAGAGTCCTGAGCTCCTGGACATCATTCACCATTTGGAATGCAGGCAAGCAAGGCAAGAAGCTCTACAGAAGCTTGTCACCAGCTAATCGGAAAAAGGTGAGCTAGTAAGAGGGGGTAATATCTGTACAAAATCACTTTCTTCTCTTTCATATGCCTCCTTGCTTCTTCTAACATAATGTAGCAAAATTCTCATAAGATATTTTGTCCCCAAAGTACTAGTTGATTAATATAAATTGGAGAAATTCTTAATATTCTGCATAATGTATTTCTTCTTTTCAAATGCTATATTACTTTTTTTAGAGCATATGGTGTGTATGTAGTGCTGTGTATGCATCCATGTTCCTGCTTGCTGGTGACTAAGCATAGTAATAGGTTATACGCACTATATAACTGTTTATGGCCTGCTACTCTGTAACTAGCCATGTAGTAGCCAGGTACCCAAGGTGAGTAGATGAGTAGACTAACTCTTTATTTGGATGGTATAATACTAAACTACCTTGTCCAGAATTATTCATATGTGGATAAAATTTGCCCAGTTCCTAAGTGGATACTGGACAGGTCGCTATCGGATGCTGATCAACCTGATTTGTATTATGAGGACTAGTTGTAGTGTAACTCCCTTTTGAAAAGCTTGATTGTTTAAAAATAGGAGTGGGGTGCGGGGTGAACAGGCAAGTAGAAGCTCTTGAACATGACTATCCAATTTACAATCAGTTGAAAATGTGGAGGTTACTTATGTTTGGCAATGGCAGATATTTCTCAGGACAGATTTGTCTTAGAGTTTAACTTTTATAGCATTTTCTTTTGTGTAATAACTTTTTGTTAGATAAAGGCTTTAGGGCTAATGTCAAATGGCTGTTTCTTATCAAGAGCCACAGAACATTCATTTTATTACCGAATGTGTTTTCTTTTCTTGAAAATATGGATGGGAAGACAAAATGACAAATATATATGTAAACCTGATTAATGTTGTGGCCCTCAGACCACACACATATGAAAAAAAGAAAGGAAGAAATTTGTATACTCATAGTTGAAATTACTGAATAGACATGGGAGACACTCATACAGTAAATACACAACACAAGAATTGAACCTGAATTTCCTGCTCGATACTCCATGCCACCCCTCTTTCACTGCCATCACGTGGTAGTGGGTGAAGTGTATGAAGAAAGAAGATTAAATGCTATGTGTCTCCAATCAGTTACTTCATTCAAAGAGGACAGAACTGTCCATTAAATGTATTGAGTTATCTTGGTCATGCGGTGCAGTGTACACATGACTTTGGGGGGTTTATGAAAATGTTCTCTTTTGTTAGTATTTTGCATAGCACTTTGTGACTTCCACTAACTTTCTAGCAACCATTGCACTTTTCTGTGTGCAAAATTATGAGAATTAGAAAATAAGTTCCAAGGGAAGAGATGGCAGCTCATCTGGTAGATTTTTGAGATGTTACGGAAAAAATAGACTATGTTGTTTTTGTAGCAGTGTCTCACCATCTTAGGTGTTAGGGGTTTTTTGGTTTTGTTTTGTTTTCTAGCTTTTGTGTGCCAAGCCAAAATGGAGATTGATATTAAGATAGAACACCTCTCTAGCTTTGGGTTACATTTGCCACCTACTTCTATAGGTGACTCATTTAGGACTTCACATCCTGTTCAGCAAACACAATGATAATTTGAAGATGTCACTGCAGAGATGATAAAAAGGGCAAGAGAAATATTATTATATTGGTGGGGTTTTGCCATTTTTCTGCCAGAGAACCAAAGCTTACCTCTCCTTCAGTAAGGAACAACCTTCATTCCCCGCTGTGCTAGCACTGACAGTGTGGTTCTAATTAACTGGATCTTGACGTTCTTTCCAGCTGACCTTTACATAACGTTTGCTTTGGCAGTGTTGCAGGCCATGATACTATTTTGCTTCTGTCAAGGTTACAATTGCACATATTACAGTATGCTTTAGTTTGATAGTGAAATATTGCATTGAGCATTAACCCATTAATTACTGGATACCAGACACATTTAGCAAGCTTACATGCCAGATGCAATTGCACATGCCAAGTATGGCTCATTTTGCAAATGTACTGCAGAAAACTACTGCTAAAATGCAGGCACAGTCTGATCCTTAATACTTTATATAGAGTAATCAAACTTTATCCACTAACTCTGACATGTTATCTGAAGTATTCAGAGGTTTTCTCAATAGCTAACAGAGATAAATACCTTCAGAAAGTGACTTGTATCATCTTAAGTGAGAGCAGGGGCCTAGTGTTTAGATAGCTAATCTCTGATGAAATTAGTATTATCTGTAGTGATTAAAGCACTAGTTTTATGTAGTTGTTCAGGCTCATTATGATTGCCATTATAACATCCTAGCTTTTCCAAAAGTAAGATCCCAGGTCTGTCCATCTCGGTCAGAACTGAAGCTTGAATGATATCCTGATGTTTCACGGTAAGTCACTGGCAAAAGGTTGTAAAAGTAGTTAAAACATCTTGCTTCTCCCAAGTGCTAATCAAAGGATTATGCTGCTGGAGTTTCAGGAAATAAATTAATAAAATTTGCAGTAGGTAGGTCATGGCAGTTTTCATTTTACTCTAAATTAATAACAGTAAGAGGAGGCTAGTTAAACTCCATGTTATACTTTTCCTCAAAAATCCATCAGGTATTTTGTGACTAATCTTCAACTCTTGCCAAAGACTCTAAAATCCCATATGAACAAAGGTTGTAAATAGTTGTTGCTTCATACTTTCCAGCCCTAAAAACAATAAAATACTTTTCTTGTCTCACCCTTTAAAGACTACCTTAACAAGATTTAAGCTTTCATATATTCTGTTAATTATGACAACACTAGAGATTCAATATAATTTTGAATCTACAAGTAGAATCTAGTGTTGTCTTGTAAATGGAGGCCCCGGGGATATGAATTCATCAATTATGTAAAATAGACACCATTAAAATACAATTCCAAAAGCCCCTTAAGACAAAATATGATTTATTACATCAATACAATTACCATTTTCTCCTCTGAAGGTCCAGTTGTGTAAAACGGTGCGATCTGAACAGGTATAATACCCTTTGAAATGCAGGTAAAATTGCCAAAATAAGCTGTATAATTTAACTGAGCTGTATAATTTAACTGTCTAAATTTAATTTCAGTTGGTTTTATACTTTAAGTCAGATTAGACTCTTGAAAATTTTACCTATACTCTGTTTCACTGTTGCTGCATCATTTTATCAAGATTCAGAATTTCATTAGTGTCATGAGACTGATTTTGGTTGGAATGTGGAGTCACAGCAGCCTTGTTTTCCAAATTGGTGCTAAGTACCTGTAGAAAATTTGGGACACATACTCCATGAAATAATAATAACCCCCCCCCCCCCCAACCTCTTACATACCGTTTGTATTATTTTGTAATTGTGAAAAAAACTAAAATCTACTAAATCTTCAGGAAGAGAATTAATTAATCTGAACTGTCAAGCTTAGGGCATGTAAGAAAACATCTTTTTCAAAAGAGAGCGTTTCTTGTCTTTTCAGAACCTGATAAACAAAGCAATTGTATTTCTTATACTGACTAAGTTTTTGTGGGATGTTTGAAAAGTATGTTGCATGCTGAACAGCACTGTTTCTTAGAAAACAAAATTTTGGCAATTCCAGGAAGCAGCAGTCTGTGTATGTTCATACTCACTAACAAATTATTACTTTAGTCTGTTTGGAAAACAGTCTGAATTTGAATTATGGCTATGTTAAAAGAGAAAAGGACACCTAAGCAATATTGTCTCTTTTCCTCCAGACATCTGTATGGTGAATATTAAAATAATTCTTTGTCTCCAAAGAGCTTAGGCAAAAATCCAAGGCTCAGTATTTTTGCTAAACAGCAACACAAGAAAAAAAAATTATTCAACTAGTAGTTTTTTTATGAATTAATTACCAGGATCTCGGTATTCTTAGGGAAATTCTGTTTCCTGGCTGTCCCCTTCTTGATTCACGCAGTTGACAGTGTTTCAGTATTAGCATTTCTGCAAGAATGAAATCGAACAGACCTTTTTTTGTTTAAAACACATCCGTCTTGTCTATAATTTGCAGCTGAAGATGGAAACCAAATGTTTTGGGGATGCTATATATGCCTGGAGGGTTTTCTGAGCTGTCTTGTCTACTCTTTTATTCTCCACCAAACTTTAGCTAAAAGGAGAACTTCAGCATTAACATTTTGTGTCATTTCCGATAGCTGAAAATAGTGCTCAAGAAGCTAACAGAAAAGAAGGGGGAAAGGACGAAATAAGCATCAGCTAATTAGTGGCATGGAAACAGTACTAGTACACAGCCAGCCCATAAAGTTTCTCTATGACAACCCTATCTGCCAGTGGCAAACTTGAAAGCTTCAAGAAAGTATTTCGTATGCCCTTTTTCCTAGCTCATTAACCATTTAAAATCATCTGTTAGTTTCTCTTCACCTTTTTCTAAGAGCAACATCACTAAACCATGTACTTTAACTATGACCCTTCAACTCCCTCACAAAAGCAAGAAATGTTTAAGCTTTGTAGCATTTTAACTACTCTAAAGTATATGAATGGCAGTATGAGAGTGTGAAGTGGGGACGTGTAAAAGCAAAGAAACATAAATAAAGGGAAGAATATTACACCTACCTTGACTGTGGAGCAAAAGATAGAATGACAACATGAAAGCGAGTTAAAAGAGAGCCAACAGAACAAAAAAAGAGAAATGAAATTCGAAAGCTTCAGTTAAATCCAGGTATAAAGCATCCTAAAATGACATGGGGTAAAATAGAGGCTTTAATTTGGACTACAGTGAATACTTCATGCTGAAATATGGCAGGGAAATTTCCCTGCTGCTTCCATTTGGGAAGATGTGCTTTTTTGCAACATCCGTTTTGTCAGTACAGAGGCATGCACACTCGAAAAGTTACTGCATAACTAATGTTGTTATCTGTTCTAGAGAAATGAGACGCTTGCAGCTAGTTCCCACACTGTTACATAATGTAATCAGGGAAATCTTGTAGGTACAGTATTTAGAAGCCTATTTTACACGTTGGAGTCTGGTGTTAAAATTGTCTTGAGCAACCTTGTTATGTATATGTTGAAAG